TTTGATCTGGGGTCCTTTGCCATTGTATGGTCTTTCGTTCCAAAGCACGCTCCAGAGCCTTTCTTTTCTTTTCTATTGTTTCTTTCTCGATAACATGCTCAATTAGTGTATCGCCTACTTTTGGCTTTTCTTGAGCAATTGACCATACTTCTTCAATTTTGGGCAAGTCCAAGGATCTAAACTTTGATGTTGAGACTTCAGTTACATCAATCTTTCTTGGAGGAAACTTGGGACGAATGGTTCCAATTCTTCTAGCCATCCATTGAGGTATCTCTCTTCGAGGACCATCACTCAAGAGTTTCCACTTTTGTGACTCATCATCTGTCAAGAGGTCTATCCGCCCACCATTGACAACATAAACTGCATCTTCATCAACTTTACCTGGGGTTCTTTCCTTCAATAGCAATGACTCTGCCATATCAGCTCGTTGTTGCCACGTCTTTGTTGCAGCTTCCGAAGCCCTCAATAGTCTTTGCAGTGCTTCGCATCTTCTAACATAGGCATTGTCTTTTGAATACGCAGTTTCTTTGGCAGCTTCAATGGCAGACTTAATACCTTCTAGCTCAGCTTTGAAAGCTTTGGTAGCTGCTTTTTTTTTGTCTGCTAAATCTTTCTTGAATTTCTCCATCATTGATTTAATTTCTCCCTCCTGCTTGATGATTTTTTCCCTGCTCAACTCCTGAAATTCGAGCAATATTTTCTCTGAATTTTTGGCTCGAATTTCTGATGCAGTGGCTTGTGCTCGGGCTTGCTCCAATTCCAACTTGAGGTTATCAACATCAGCCCTTGTAAGTAATAAGTGAGATTCCAATTCATTGATGACACCTTTCAACTTAATATTTTCTGATTGGACAGAGGCGATCTCATCTAGAGGATATACCTCATCGGTAAATGTTCCCACAACCTTCTTTGCATGAGCACCAGCTTTTTCAGCCACGTCCAGAGCCTTTTCAATAGTTTGTTTTGATTGTTCTACAAAAGACAGCATTGAACCTTCAATAGCATCCCTGATCTGTTTTTCAATTTGATAAGATGCCTCAACAGCAGAAGTTTCTGCAACTGAAACCCTGTATTGAGCATCTTCTAATATATGTGAGGTGGCCTGCTGGAAGGCAATTGCGGCTAACTTCTCAACCTGTACTGCAAGATCAATAGCATCCTGCTTCGCAAGGACCAGCTTAGATTCTAAAGCAAACTTCTCACCCACCGAATCGTGGAGTCTTTTATTAAATAATGATCTGGCAGCCTCGAGTTCTGAAACTGCCAATTCCTTATCATGCAAAATAGTAGCAACATATTCTTTTTGTTTAGCCTCATAACGAGCCAACCTCTCAATCAATTGATCTCTCTCTTTCTCTACAGCTTCTTGTCTTGTTTGAGACTCCAAAAGGACCTTTTTAACTGCAAGAATTTCATCTTCTTCTGTTTGCAATACTTCACTTCTTCCAGTTGAAAAGCCATCAGCATCATCTACCCAATCTGTTAAATTATCGCTTGAATTATCCTGTCGCAAACCAACAGCCATAAGTCGCATCATATTTTCTCAGCTTCTACATAAGATGTAGTCATGTAGTTGAATACACAAGTTAAATTCCCATTTCCATTCCAGGAAAGGAGTCAGCCATACATTTACATGTTACTTGAGTAACAGCCAAAACAAAACAAAAGATTTAAGTAGGATCCGATATGATGATTCATAACTCTGTTCAAGCAGCTAGCTCGCAGATTCTAATAGTGAAAACAACAAAGATTATAGGTTAAAAGTTATCCATACCGGACTAGAAAAAACAACAGTTTTTGGTTTACACAGCAATTTGTCAACGTATGAGAGTTTCCTGCATTAACATTACCGATTGGATAGTAATTAAAAAGAAATGAAAGAAGAAAGGACATCGCAAAATCAAGCTAAAACACCAAATCTAGTCCCCCTTTTCTCGGGAGGGAAGGAGGGAGAAGACATCCAGGCAGAGTAAAAGCACAAGTACCACTTCCTTGCAGCTGAAACTGTTCTTAGAATTTGATGATAATTTGATGACCGTCTGCAATATGATGAGCCCGCAGAAATAATAGGGCAACGCGGAAGGAATTCAATTGCTGTGTCAAGTAATGGGAGTGGACCCATTACTTCCTGTAAGGAATCAAACTCAGTTTTACCACGGAAACAATAGAACTAGTTACGTTATAAATTAATCAAAACTCAACCACGAGATACATAACTTATAGACTATTCTGTGGTTCAAATTTCCCCACCCACAAAAGCACAGAAAAGTTCATCACAAATTGCAAGCAAATGAATCACCGAACATAACAAATTCCACCAGAACGGTAGCTCCATAACGTTAACTAATATAATAAATTTTCAAATAAATCACGTAGAAGATGGAAAAGACAAAACACAAACAGGAGAAATTAAAGCAAAATCAACAAAGAAGGATGAAAACCAAGCAAGGAAGTGAAAATGGGAGTGACAAACTGAGTGATCCGATCATAAGCGTCGACGACCGAAACCTGAAGAACTAAAAACGGAAGCTACAAAAGGTAGAAAAACTTGAAGACCTGATTTCAATGGCGGAATCAATCCGAGACCAGGAGGAGTGTTTCCATTCCTTGAGAAGATTAAGAAAGAACTCGAAATTGGGAAATGCGGGAACCGAGGAATCAGGTGGAGCTGCTGGATTCAGTAGAATATGAGCATTGAAAAAGAAGAAATTCGAATGGCGGGGAGAGAACGGCTTTTATATTGCCAAAAAGCTGCTTTTTTCTTTGTCATGTTTCATTTGAGTGAACAAAAAGCCTTTGACCCTTTTCAAGTATGCTTTTCAATGGAAAAAATCCAATTATTTTAATTTTGAGATATTAAATTTTCGTACATTTTCATATGTATGTAAGATCCATATCAACATAAGATGTATATCGAGATTAATATCATACGATAATGGACAAAATATTGGAGAAATATCACTAATATTTACCTAATATTATTATTAATAATTTTTTATCTATTTAAAATGATCAAATATTTATTTGTTATGAATTTTTTCGAGAAACAATCATTGACATCGACATTTTATCTTATCCATATTTCAATTGACATTTTTATAAAATTGAGATCTCAACATTTTTATTGACATCACATTTTAAATCTTATTTTAAAATTTTTTTATTGTGTATATTAAAAAAAATCATGTTTACCTATTATCCTAAATTTTAAATCAAATTATAGATATTGCCCTTGTAATATAGGACCATCGTGTCTATTAGTCACCATTTTTATAAATTAATTACATCTCTAAATTTTGAATTATGTGGCATGCTGAAGCTAGTATTATAGGTGAGATACCGACATAGTATTGGTTATCAAATAAATTTTAAATGAGATAGTATGGTAATTAATTAAACAAATTATGAATTTTTATGGCTAACACGAACTAATAATTACACTTTAATCCTAATTATAATTCCTAAACTCACTCCAAATATAATTATTGATCATCCAAACTTTACTATTAGACTGTTTAGCAGTGTAATTGAAATTGTAAATTTTTTTTCAGTACAATCTTAACTAGTTAAACTACATTAAATTTTAGTTAAGATTATGATGAAATTGTAAAAGTTTAAGGTTTAATAACTAAATTGACACGATATTCAAAAAGTATATAGATAAAAAAAATGTATTAACTTAAATTTTATACCATATAGGATTTATTTGACCAATTATCATAAGATAGATAAAAATAAGTTTCAGTAAGAAAGAAAAAAAAGAAAGTTAATCATAAAAAGATAATTTTATAATTTATTAATCATAAGAAATTTGGTAGTTGTAAAATAATTAATGAATAGGTCGTGGGTTCAAAGAAATAAATGATGAAAATGAGAGAATGAGATTCACGAGATTTTTGGAGATGAATAAAATTATCTCGTATTTAAAGATTATTTTCAATTTTGAAAACTTCTAAAAAACTATATGATGAAAAGTATATTATTTGTCCCTTGCTAATATTGCTTTTTAGATATTTTATAATTAGTTTTTTATTTTTTGTTTTATATTTTGAATATCCACTCTAATATAAATTTTTGTTTACTTGATTTTCCTTTGTTAATTTCATTCAAATCCAACATAATTGTTTTTTAATGAATACTTTTTTTTCTAATAAATTAACAAAAATAAAATAAAATATCATTGATGTATATCCAATACTCTTAAAAATATTAATTTTAACAAATTAAATATACCGAGGCTATAAGTATATCTTATTTATTAAACAATTGATATGATTTAGAATATTATTAAGTTCATATGAAATTTTCTTTTACTAAAAAATATTAAAAAATAATAATAAATACATCACTCATTGTCCCTGGTATACGAAGTATTTATCCACCAACTTCAACATAGTTCAACTAATTAAGTTATATATCATTGATCAAAAAATAGAATCTCACCTTCACAAGTTGAACTAAAATAAAAAAGAACTTATCCTAACATAACAATGGTAGATGATATTGCTTTCTAGATATTTTATATATATTTTTTTTTTAATAACGAAGAGTCAGAACTTTGCTCCTATACCCAGGGACATCCGCCCCCTCCTTAAGACTCAAATTTAAGAAACATTAAAGATTTTTTAAATTAAACTTTTCGAAAAATCTGAACTTGAGACCTTTAAACCAACGTGACTAAGATGTCCAAGCTCTTGCCAATTGAACTATCCTTGGGGCATTATATAGATAGCATAATATTTTACATATACATATATGCATAATATGTACATGTGTGTATGTATATACATCTATATATACATACACACATAAATATATAAACATATATACACATATGCATACATATACACATATATAAGTATGTACGTATATAACATATATATACACTTATAAATATATAGGTATATATATGTATCTACATATATTATGTATATGTATGTATATGAATACGTATGTATGTATGTGTATATATATATAAATAAATAAAAGGTGAGAGAGTATTATGGGAGAACTCAAAGAAAAGAATAAATTATAAATAATAAGCCAATCTCAACTCTTAAGTTTCAGTCAGCCTATAGTTGGGAGCTCTCTCCAAAGAGAGAAAATTTGATTGGTTTTACAACAAAAGAAACGCAATTTACTTTTTATATTCTCCTCTGATACAGTTCTCTACCTTACACTGAAGAAAAGGCAGCAGACCTGAAAAGAAAATTTAAAGAGATTTCAGCAATCGAACTCATCCATAATAATTTCATAGTCAATTAAGGTGGTCATTTCGTGGTAAACTAAAATCCTTTTTACCAGAAAAGAAAATCTTTCTATTCTACCTTACGGCACATAAATCCCAGACGAAATGCACAGTCTCGAGTCCACCCCGCCACTGATAACATTGTCACCTTTCCACCAGTCAGCCGACAGTACCTGAAATTTGCAAACATAATGAAACAAGGTTCCAAAGGGCAAAGGCTATGTTGGCGAGGAAGGAACAAAATGGGGTACCTTGTCTTTGTGAGAGTCAATTACAGCTAAAGGCCACTGTAAGATGAACAAAACAATTTTTTTGGTCAGGTGTTATACATTCAAAATTAGAACAAACAATAGAGCGCGAGAATATTCGAGTACCGCAGTTCTCAGATCCCACAGCATAGCTTTCCCATCATATGATGCAGACAGCAAATGGAACCAAGATCTATCATGCCACTTGCAAGCTGAAACCCAAGAACTATGGGACAAGAACTGAAAGACTGGACCAGAAGTTCCTACAAAAATATCACATTATTAGATACAGAAGTGTTTCTAGAGGATGCAGCCCATTTCCCGTTCTGTATACCTGGTTTACGAGGATCCCATATTCTAATGGTGGGGTCTGAGCCACCGGCAGCAATGAGAGTGGAGCCCTCACCTCCGATATCGAGGCAGCTGAGTGCCTTACCACAAAACTGTCAATGGAGACAATTTTTCTAATGAATGGATCCATATTTCATTTGGATGAATGAATTTGAAGACATAAGACAGTAATTCAGAGAAGTGTGGAACTTTAGGTAATTTTATATCTATTTAATCCCAAAGAACATTCAATTGTCAAGTTTCCTTTACTACTGCTAATAGTTTCATTCCATAAAAGCAAACAAACTGACAAGTTAGTAACTGTTTAATGTCTTTCCTCAAGAGAACATGCTTTCTGGGCTATATTTCCATAAAAGTTGGATTTTACACAAAATTTCATGGAAATGGAGAATGCATAACTTCCTACGGACGTCCATGTCATGTAAAACAAGAACTTCAACATCAAAATTAAATTCTATTTCATAAACATATGCATGAAGAGGAACAWGGAAAGAGTTGGCGAGCATACAATATTAAACAAATCTTTGCCTGTCTCGACATCCCATCTTCTTACAGAATGGTCCCACGATGCTGAATAAATTTCTCCATGCTTCGGCCAAGCAACTGACGATACACATTGTGTGTGGCCAACAAGCGTAGCAACAGAGGTGCCCTGTTAGATGTTTTATATAGAGACATAAGCTACATTATTAAACAAAAATATGAGAAAAAATTAAGGGAAAGAAACAAAAAGCAGAAGATAAGAAACCTTCTTATATATATGTGTAACTAAAAGAAAAGAAGAAGACAAAGAGAGAGAATAGAGAACAGAGTGAGTTGCTATGAAAGTTGAAACGGTTTAAGATTTCATGACCAAAAATTAAAAACCCTCAATATGAAATTTGTTTCCTATCCAAAAAAAAGAAATGTCTATTAATAGTCACGCACCAGGCAGCATAAGAATTGGTTGGTAACAACAGAAAGAGTTAATTTTTAGAAAGCTCCGATAAAGGCAACAAGGCTCAAATTATAATATCATAGAAAGATAAAAAGCAGGGTGCAAAGTGAGAATTCTGGTCATGGAGCGATTCATTCTAACCATCCAAACACCAAACTAATTGAAAATTAATATTTAACAGGTGCTCAGGCATTCCTATATGTGTGTGTGTGTGAGCATCCATGCCAGCTTGCATGCATGACTCGACTAATCTCATCGAACAACCGCCGAACCCTACGATATTTGATTACCAAAGAAACTCGTAAGATTGAAAATTTTAGATAGGCAATCACCATGGTTTGAACTCATTCGTTCCAAGCCTCTTTAATTTTTTATGGGCCCCAATGTTAACTGGGGGTCGAGGCATTCCTTGTGTTAAAGGTTCATTTCCATAATGCATGATCCCACTTGAAATAGTCACATGTTGTCTAGTCTAATTTTTTGGATAAGACATGTTGTCAACTCTAATTAACCAAAAAGAACAAAAACTATGCTTTACCTCTAACTGAGATTCTTCAGCCTGGTCATTCTTTTTTCTCCTCTTGATGGAGACAACATCACCTTCAGATTGAGGTTCATCTGTTTGCCATAAATTGATTGTGCAATCCCAAGAACCTGAACAGATCTAAATTACATAATAAAAGATCAAATAATATGAGCAAACTTGTGAGTAGACCGTTGTAACTTTCACTTTGAATTGGAACATATAATATACACAACACAGCAACAAGAACATAATCATACCAGGTCTCCAGACGTCTGTGATGCAACACTTTGGACAGATAATCCGTGTCCTTTCAAGATTTTGAATGCCCTTATCTTGGTAGGGTTGCTAGCAGACTTGTCTTTTGAATACTTCCAAGTGGAAACAGGAAAAATTATTTTGTTAAATCATCAATCACATAGGTCCAATATTAAACAAGTACTTCTTCAAAAAATTACCTTCCACAGCCTGAGTGTTCGATCCTTTGAAGCAGTGGCGAGAGTGACACTAGCAGCTTCTGTATTAGCATGGTCAAGAAGTAAATAAACCAGTATCGATATAAGATTCAAACTTGAATTAGAGAACCATGTTTCAATAAAACAATAAATATAAATTAGACAAAGACTAGTATTTAGCTAGCAAGTCAAAGATAGCTTAGGGCCACAAGGTCCTAAACCCAAAGATTGAACGTTCCTAAAATGGAAAAAAACTTTATAGTATATGTATATCTAATAGTAAACAGCATGCATGCACGAGAACGTAGAAATCCAGATATAAGGATTTCCTAGGGCAACTTTCAGAGAAAAAATTTGGGCTAAAGGTTACCTCGGAACGTTGAAGTGCTTCAGCATGTAGACAAGTTTCTCAAACAGAAAGTGATATAAAGTTTCCAATATATCAAAATATATTAATCTAATACCAGGAGCTCACAAGAAAAAACTACAAGCTTGATATAGAAAAGAGAAAATAAAATTATCAACTATAACAACTGGCACAACATTGTTCACGGATCGTGTTATAGGAGATGGTAAGTTTGGTAAATACCTTCAGGGTTCACAATACAGACGGATGATATGGCATCGCTATGACCTTCAAGTATATGTGTACACAATCCGGCAGATTCCCAAACCCTATGGAACAATAGTAGATGTTTTTAGATAACAATCCGTGTTCACTATTCAAGAAAAAATAGTAAGAAAGACAACAGTTTATGGGTTTCTTCGAGTATTAAAAAAAAAACTTAAGTTTACCTTCCTAAGCCATCATAGCAACCTGTCAAAATGAACCTGAAAAATATGAGCAAACACAAGTTCAAATTATATTAGTTTCCTTTGCTATTTTGACATGCAAACAGAAGAAGCAAAATTAAATTACTTCATTTAAAAAGATATGCCTACAAACTAATTCAAATCCTAATTGTAATGATACAGGCATACAGCAATAACAGTTTAATGGATAGGCAATAGGCATATTAGCTGTTACTACTGAAAAGATTATACAGCAGTAACAGCTAATATGCACATTCAATAAATTACACCACGCTGAAACTTGCTACATGCAGCAATAAAATACACTGGCTTACAAATAAAATGCCTCATTGTATCAATCTTTATCATTGATATTTGGGATAAGGTAATCCCAGAGGTAGAAAATTGACACCCGTTATTACTCAATGACCACAAAGAGACTTTAAAAGTTGAGCCTAAAACTGCTTTTCATTGACAAAACATGTAACACTATGTTTTGATAACTGTGTTTCTAAAATTTAACTTTGTTAGACAGATGGTCTATTTAAAAGAATTTAAATTGTTCTTTAAAAGAATCACGAGCTTGTAACAATGATCCCGAATACATGGTAACCCAAACCATGTCATCAGATTGCACAATAAAACAATTCAAAGTGTTCTATGTAACAGACAGCCAAACACCCTTACAGGGCATCCAAGACAAGCCAATAGTAGAGTAGTTCAACATACAGGAACGGAAGAAAATTCTAAAAGCATTCATAAGATACCAACCAACCACTAAATCTTAAAAAACTCACAGGGACAATAAATTGAAGCACGGTCGCTAAACTAAAAANCCATCACTTTGGCTTCAGTTTATTATTTTAACTTTTAAAAGGCTATTTTAATTTATAAACTTGTCTTTTTAAATTTTAAAAATATCTACTTAATTGCTAAACTAAAAAAAAAAAAACCCAAAATGCAGGTGATATAGAATCATAGATGACTATAATAAAGTAGATGTTGCATTCAAATGCTTACCCAGGACAAGACCCATCTACTGCACTGACCCAATCATCATGAACAGAAGGCTCTTCCTCCTTTCGTGGGGCAACAGCCTTAATATACTCAATCTCCAACGTTTTCTCCTATTGTATGCCAAAACGACAGTTCAGGAAGAACACTAAAAATTCAAAGAAAAAGAGACAATAATAAAACCTCCCAGATCTCTAACTTGGGTCATATTGGATACTCAACTGAAGATATTCTAAATAAATAAACTATATATTGTAAGCGTTCAAAAGCTTCCGATTTCCTCTCCACACAACATAGGAACCAAACATTGATAACAACAATTTAACTATTACCGCCGAGATTCCCTTAGCAAGAAGGAATTGCTCCAGCGACATTCTGACCAGCTCGCCATCAATTAGAAAATCAAATGGTTCTGCTTCCCACTCAGGGTTCCCTATCCATTAGTTTCAATAAAACAAGTCAATACGGAGCAACGAAACATAGTTCCAGTGAAACAGCAAATAACCAGACGACATTTTAGACGCGATAAAAGAACATACCGGCTAGAATAAGATTGTTAACAACGGTGGAAAGACCCAGTCTGGTGAGGTTAGAGGGAATGGCAATGGCGTTCGTCGGAACCTTGAAAGGAGCCTTGAGTTTCGTGATAAACCGCACTTGAACTCGCCGAGAGGTGTCCTCCGAAACCCCGTCGATGTCCATATCTACCTATGTGAATTGAAGAATCCCAGAACTGAATAACGAAACGTTGAGATGACAATCCTCAGCTGCAGAGGAGAAGATGCTACGAACTTCGTCCAAAAACCCTTCGCAAATGCCTTGGGGTTTTTCATTTTTATTGTGGAAAATAAAATAAATAAATAAATAAAAAATAATAAAAAACCGGACGGATCGAACCCGGTTCAGTTTTGTAATTTACAGTATTTTTAAAAGTTGTAAACGAGATGAATATTTGAAACTCCAGACCACCTCGTCAATTGAGCTTTGTTCATGCTACCATTTTATTTTATTTTTTTCTATATAAAAATTACAAGTTTTGTCTCTAAACTTTCATTTGGATGCTGTTTAATAAGTTTTTAAATTTTAACGAGTATCTAATAAATTTCTAAATTTTAAAGTTGTTGAGTTTTTGTGTCTAATAAATACCTGACATTGTTAAAAAGTAGTACAAATATATGGTAGTTTCATTGTTGGTGTTTATTTATCTACGTTTTAGGAGCGATGATTAATGGTTAATTTTATAATTGGTAGTTAATTAAGTATTGGATGAGTAGATGTAAATTTGAGAGAATTTGAATACTAGTAGTCTAATTAATGAGCCAATGATCTGTTATTTATTTTTCAAAAAATATTTGTAAAACTCTGTTTTAATGAATAGAAGTTTTTCATTTTTCTCTTGTTTTAACTCTCACTTACACTCTGTTGTCTTATTTGTTTTTTCATTACAGACTTATTTTGATATATATTGAATATGTTAATTGAACACAGAACCAGACTCGAAAAATCAAACCGAACCGTTGTTGACCCGACAAACCCAAGGGTTTTATAGCATACATTCCTTGTCCACCCTCTCACGTTCTCTCAGCAAGGCGACGGCGGGGCAAGATTCGCAGGATTTCGTGGGAGAAAAAAGAAGAAGAAGAAGATAGGTTTTCGAAATTGGCAGCCTCTCACAAATAAAAAAGAAACCTAGTATGAATAAAATATATATATATATATATAAGAGAAAAAGCCTGTACTAAAAAGAATAAATAAAGAAAAAAATAGCATGTAAAATTCAGGTCTAACCAAACTTCTTTCAAATTGGTTCGGTATTTCTTTTGTTAAACAAAAATCAAATCCAACTGACACAATTATACTTTAGGCTGCCAGAGAGGAAGCCAAACCGACCTATTAAGCGCAGATAAGCTAATATGTGTCGRAGAAAACCAGGTGTCAGACACTTTTTTAGAAGGAGTTCAGTGTAGTCGGATGGAAGGGAAGTGCATATTGGAAACAAATCGGGCATCTAGGGAAAGAATAAACCTTCTACGCCTCATGCTTGGCTTCTTCTTGGAGTCCTTGCCTTTTCGATACTTTAGGTCACTCGTCCCTTCTCCTTTCCTTTCAGTCAAGGTCTAATCCACAGAGCGGATCCTGGAGGAGTTCGACCACAGGGTCAAAATCAGAAAAGAGAGACCAACTCGTGAAGACTAGAAAGATTTTGGTGCACGAACCAGAGGATGACTAAGTTGGTATGGACGAAATTTTTGAACTTCTCAACAGGAATGCATCAACAAAACTGCTCTTCCATATAGATCATCGTGACATGAATTAAGAATTTCTTCGTCCAACATCATTTGCCCAAAAACATTTGTCATGATAAAAGTAATGTAAAACTAAAAACTTAATTTCTTAAAACAGAACCCGTTATAGAATATTATCATCTATTATTTATTGTTCCTCTTTATAATAGAAACAAATTAAACTAACTTTTTATTTAGTATTATTCACTTTTCTCTATTAAACAAAATGGAACTTCGATTTTGCAACTTCCTAATTCATCAAAGAAAAATATCTAAAATATCTAGGTGCTTACTAGGCGACCAATAAATATTCTACATATCTTTAGACTTTTGAAAGAAAGGAAAAAAAAAATTCTCTTATTCTATATTTATCTTATTTATCGTCAATGACTTAATGGGTAGCACGGAAGTATTTATCTTTTTGATATCCTCTGTTGATCAGGCAAATGACTCATTTATCCCATTATTTTCTTGAGTAAATATTTGTAAGAAAAGAAGAGTATTATAATGAATAAATTATATTTGCAAAAAGAAGTCAATTCTCTCGTGGCATCTAAAAAAATGATTCAAAATATTAATCATAATTAAACTTATAACAACAAAACGTGTACCCTTCAAAAAAAAACAAAACAAAACAAAACGTGTAATATGTATTTATATATATATATATATATATATATTATAAAGAAGTGGGGCTAGCAGGAATCACGTAAGACAAAATCTGTAATAAGCTTAGAAACAGATGCAGGACTGTCCACATGAGGCAGATGACCACTATCTGTTATTGTTCGCATTATTGCATTTGGCAGTTCACAGTGTAGCCTCTGCAAAAATCAACAACCATATATCAATTATAAAATCTCTCTCTCTCTCTAGAAATATGAAGGGGAGAACAATTCAGCTGATATTCTCTCACATCAACAACATATTAAAACTTTACATTGCTTCCTAAACTTATCTTGATCCTACCGCATGTGGCTTCAAATACTTATCTAGTAAATAAGAAACATTTCTATTAAATAATTTACAAAATATTCGCAACAAGGATTCAAATGAATTTTTATGCAAGATTTGGAGCAAAAATAAAATATTTTAGAATTCGCGATCAAAATAGAATAAACACGAAATTAAAGGAAAAAAGGGGTAAGAAATGCAGGTTGTGAGTTGAAACAAGTTTAAGAGGAGACGTGTCTCAACCGTACTAAACGTCCTAAGAAATCTCATTGTGTGCAGCTAAGTTTTCTCACAAGTCTCGCATATGCTCGAGAATGAAATGTTTGGATCAGCTTGTGTGCATAAAATTTGATATCCAAAAACTCAAGATATTTAACACTATATAAGTGGTCAATATAGTTTGAATCATGACCTCAAGGCCGGAGGGTCTACATCCTATACATTCAATCCCTTAACTATCAAGTCATCATAGAATCCATTAACTAGGTCAATATATGATGGTTAATAAATAATCTTTCCAAAAAGTGTTGAGCAAACCAACCAAAAGCATGAATGCAGCAGATATATAACTATGGGCAGAACTAAGCATTTTAACAGAATTGATGAATTTTTTCAAAGAAACTGACTTGGATTTCTCATCTTATTTATAGATCCCAAGTTCGTAAGTAAAAATGAAAACTCACCACAGCATCTTTATAGGGAATAATTCTGTCATCTTCGCCTGCAATGATAAGCGCTCTTTGCTTGACCTATTGATTAAAGTTCAGTGAACAGTATAAATTGTTAACATACATAATGAGCCAACGTAGGAACTATCATCTGAACCTACAAGAATTGATATTGTTTGAAAATTTCTTTAGTTTCTAACCATGAAATCCCGAACCCCAATTACTTGACTCTTTGGTTAATATACCGGTTTTAGACTATGTTGGGGAGTAGTATTTTAATCAGACACTTTTTCTAAAGATGGTTTTGAAAGGGGAAAAGAAAATACTAATCAGTCGTTTAGTAGTACTTGAAAGTGCAGCTAAACACCATAAAAAAACCCTAAAATAGTCTTAGTATTTCTAACTTCACTCTTATCCCCGGGTGACCCCGTTGGCAAGAGCTTGAGCCCCTAAGTCCAAAATCATATAATGACTATTTATGGACATACCTGTTTAATTTGGGAAGTGACATTATATCCTCCACTGTTCATAAAATTAACAGTTGCATCTTCCCACCAAGGCAATAGACAGTGCAAACGGCCAACCTAATCGGTATAAGAACATTATTAGTAGATTTTCATGTCATCACTCACCAACTAAACAAGATATTAAGTCTGCAACTAAACAAGAAATATCTCACTTTCATTTTTATAATAAATACAATTCGCTATGGTCCAAAAGTATTTGATGGACCATATTTCAAACACTCGTCGAAAAGGAACTCAATGTTATAAAAAGGGTCTTCATCTTTCTTTAATGAAAAATGAACTACAAGAGTCCAATGAAATTGAAGATACCTATTTTGTTAACGTCGTAGGTTAATAATGCCTCACTAAATGACATATTCAAAATCAATCTTTCCCAGGAAGGATACAAGAGACTAGAGAATCTTACATTAGTCCATTCTAGACTTCGAGCAAGCGAAAGGTCATTGAAAGCTAACGTATTTGCGAAGAGGCGCAATGGGATGGTTTTCAACAAAGAAACCTGATAGACAACTCAGTCAGTGCTATAGAAACTTCAGGGTTTGGTCATCGTGACAACATTTTCCAAAATCAAGCACTTAAATCTTTGTTGAAGATTAAAGGTCGAATTTTTATATGCATTTTACTTGGTTAAATAAATTCTCAATGTTTTCTCATGACATGGTCAAACAGTTGAAAGAACTTACAAAACTATTACATGGAAGGAACTTCTGTTATTTAGTTTCTTTTTGCTCACATTAAAGAACATTCACAGACTTAGTATTATTGACAATGGAAAAGTGTTTAGTAAAATCAAGGATTTAGCAAGAATAACGGAGTACGGAGTAAACAAGTATATTAGAAGAGCAATAAAAGCTCAAAAGTTGTTGACTCCGTCAATTTATCGTCTTCCAAAAATAGTTCAAAATCATTTAATCCATTGGTAACATTAATAAAGTTTAGAGGCAAACAAGTAGCATATTAATTACTGGCATGTACTAATTTATGTCCCATGGAGACCTACCCCAGCATATGCTACCATCTTCGGCAGCTTTGTAGGGTGCCCAGTGCACTTACTATACACACAAGCATTGATCAAAACCAGCTTTTCCACCTATGAAACAGGGTCATTAAAAATTTCACAGATAAAAGCTGACAAAGAAATCGTCTAGAACCCTAAATAACATTACAAATCTACAGTATATAGAGGATGGAACAAAATTAAGAGCACGGAAGATGATTCAGGATCCAGAGTTTCAAGGCTCCAAGGACCGTTGTTTCAATAAGTTTGATGGCTATGTTTCGTATAAACTATAAGTAAAGTGATTTGGCAAGTATATTACCAGGATCAATAAGAAAGCATCATGAAGGAAGCTGTTGGTAAATCAATTTCCAATTCGAAACCTCCACCTTTTATAAATTGTAAATAAAATAGATATGAACTTGAACTAAAGAAATTGGCAAAGCTCAAGCATTTATTTAGGTAATTTTTGTGGGAAGGCCCTACATCTGATGGAAGGTGATTTGGTTAGATGGTAGGTGGTCTTTCCTTCCAAATGAGCTGGGTGGCCTTAGAGTGGGAAACTTGAGGAAAAAGAATAAGCCCCTTATTGTTAAATGATTGTGGAGGTTTTCTCTTGAAACATATTTGGTGTGGTACAGAGTGTTTGATAGCAAATATAGATCAAAACTCAGGGGATGCTTTGTTGGAGATGATGTTTTGAAAGGCTTTTGAGGCGTATCATAAGGTCCGCCTCAAGGCAAGGCACTAACTTTTAACCTCGAAACTTACGCCTTCTTTGGACAATAAGAGGATTATGCCTCACATAGAAGAGGTTTACACCTCTTTGAAGATGCACTAAGGTTTAAAGTTTTTACGCCTCGTATAACAACTACAAGAATACTATTAATTTTCCTAATTCTTAAAAATATAAAGGTTTTTTCTTTTTGTATGGAATGTTAATGCAGGAGTTGTAACAATTCAATCTATTACTACTTTTACTGCCTATATTTTAAAAACATTGAAGACAAAAATTTATAGAAAAATCAATCCTATTAGTGATAATAGTAGTGATATTAAGGATGTTCTTTTAGATTTTTTTTTTTTTAAGTGGCAAGAAACTGGTGAATATTTTGATAATTTTATATAACAATTATGTTTAGTAATACCGATTACACAAATTTAGCATTTTTATAAATTTTTTAATTAAATTTGAGGCTTACGCCTCATACCGCCTCAAGGCTTATGCCTCACCTCTTCCAGAGGAAAATCCTCGAGGCCAATGGAGAGATCTTCTATTCTGTTCAGTAACGGAGCTTTTATTTGCTTTTTTGAAGCACCCTTTGGATGACTTTAGATCTCTTTCCTCTGCTTTCACTTGTCTTTTTGCCTCTGTGTTGGGGTGAGTAACTCCAAAATGGAAGGTTTGAGATGGTGTTTTGAATTTCTGGAATCCCAAGCCCAGAGGAAAGACTTTTACGGTGATGTCTTTTCATCCATGATTCATCTCATCTAAAACTTCGTTGTAACGATTGGCCAGCAAGAATCCATGTGTGTTAAAAGACTTGTTGTTCTCCTTTAAGGAAAAAACTTTATGGTTTCTTTTCAGCCAGCCTGAGTCTTGATTGAGTTCTTTCAATTTTGTTGGGTGTAGGTGTTTTTCTGTTACTGGTTGTTTTTGGTTTTTAGGGGGGCTTTTTTTAAACATGCTCCCTGAAGGGAGTTTTCAATGGTAGCTTATATTTAACCTTGTTTGTAATTTTTCATAATTCATATAAAAGAAAAAGAAAAAGGAGGACGCAGTTGAAAGAGGTTTCTTATGTTCATTGTGAATTTTTGAAGGGTCAAAGGACCCAACAAGACTGTAGGAGATGGCTTTGTGATAGGTCTGGAAGCTTCTCAACTAAATCCATCTTTAAAATCCTACCCAACAAATGACGTCAACTTCATACATGGATCAATAGACCAACTAAGAGGTGATACATGGCACAAAAGGTGATGTGGCGCTGAGGCAACACTTTAACAGCTCAAATTTTTGCTAGCACATCAAAGCATGTGTATGGGTGATGTGGTACCAGTGACCAATAATATTGCAATTCATGACATAGTACACTGACTCACATGCTACCAGATTGACTCACATGCATCCTTTATTTCTGCAACCTCCACATGCACAACCTCCACGTGTGGGTGGGTGTTTCACTTTTAGACACTCCAGATCAATTTCTGCAATATTTTTCTAATTTCCCCCTTAATTTCTCACAATTTATCCCCTCCCTTGGATCTTCTATTCTAGATCGAATCGTCAGAGTTAACCCAACCTTACCAGCCAAATTTCTTCTCCAAACAATTTTAGCTTGCTTTCTCCTCTAAAAAAATCCTCATACCCTACAATTCACCTCACTTCAATTCCTCATTTATTTTTTTAAGATGCATACAGTGAGAGTTTTGATATTGATTTTTGTGAAAAAACTTGTGGATCTACGTGTTTGGAGGTTTGTCAAATTCTATTCTTTTTAGTTGCTTGTTCGGATTTGTAATGAGGTGTGAGCACACTTTAGTGTGTGAAAAAGACATTGGTTGAATCAAGAACTAGCAAAAACGATTGCTAGAATTCCTTTCTAGCCTAAAAAGAAAGAACGAAAGAAAAGGAAGGTTGTGAACGGTATAGTGAACTTCTTAAGGAAGAGCCTAGGGAGCGGACATAGGCTTCATTATAAGTCAAACCACTACATGTTGTAGCTTTTATATAGTATCAAGTTCCAAGAAAAGACATATCTCAATCTGAAAGCTCATTTAGAATCAAAATAAAAGATCTGCAATATAGAGCCACAGCCATGACAATAAGTGACATCCAACAATTCATTTACGACAATAACACAGTTTTCCTTCATTTGTCAGCACATCTGAAGATAAACTAAACATGAGACGATGTGAGAGATCAAATTATATTATTCACATTCTTCATGCACAAATACTCAGTATAATTTCATTACTCTAAGTTAGATAGAAGAATTACACTTACAGCTTCTGGGTGATTAGCTGCAAAGTCAAGTACAACGGCGGCACCAAGGCTTGGTCCAACTAATACCATTGACCTCTTGATGTACGACTTCCAAAACTAAACCCAAATTAACATTCAATTATATTCCAAACAACTATTGTGAAATCTAAACTATTACAACAGCCAATAAAACTTAACGGACAATTTTCATTCTCCGAATTTCAAGCAGTTTTAAGATGTGTAAAAACATGTAAATTATATGGAGACCTTAGAATATCAAGAATCTTTCTAAAATAAAGCAAAGGTGAAATGGTTAAGCAATTAACCTGGTATAGATGAGCACACTTCGTTTGCACATTACACGGTGGAAGACTATCTAGTATACATAAGTATAATCAGGAAACATAAAGTGTGAGAAACGTTTCTAGGGTTTATAAAACACAATTAGCCAGAAGAAAATATAACCAAACGAATATGGAAATGACTCTTAAGTGAACCCACCCAAGTCAGAAAAGCCCCATCCAAGAACATCAACAGCCCAGGTTTCGAGTCCAGCCTCTTCAAGCAGAGGAAATGTGTAACTCCATTCCAAACAAGAACTGTGCATGAAAAATACCAAACAGTTCATATCATGTTAAATGGAACAATGCATATTAACAAAATCGTGTTGCTTCCACAACAAACCTGTCAAAGCAATGAAGCAGAACCACTGGATGCTTCTCACTTCTCATTAACGGTTCAACACAGCTGCTCAGAATGCGAGTTTCAGATAATGTGATCTGCAAAATAGGACAAATAGTAAAAAGGACCATTATGCAGGTTCGGTAGTAAAACCTTAAGACAGAAGTGGCAAGCATCAAAGTGCAAGGTGAAATTGGATAAAATATATACAAGAAGTCTGCTTCTTATACAGTACAGCAGCGTCCATTTTGTCCTTCCATCAAGAAAACAATGAACTATGATCTCATCACTATGGACAAATGAACAATATCGAATGACATTCTAGTATTCTACATGTACATATTACGTTTGACAATGAAATAAACTAGAAATCCTAAACCATTTATATCCGAGACATTTAACTTTCAAATGTTTAATATCCAAACCCATCAAACAATATCAGCAAACCAAGGTTTCCAAAATATAAATTTGCAGTTGTTTATTAAAATACTCATAAAAAATCAAATTGTCAGAGGAAGTTGCTTATCAGAGTTGCACTTGAACAAGCGAGAATAACCCATCTCCAAAATCTCAGATAACGGAATCCCAACGTGAAACGCCAAACTGAGTTCGAGTCCAATTTCTAAGCAACATTAAAACATCTAACAAATTTCATTGCTCAAGCCTCGCTTATACTTTAAAATGGAAGCTCCCAAAAGATCCTGATAATATTCAATTGCGAACGAATCTTATAGCGCAATGAAAAAACCAACTAGAAAAATTAGCACAGAGTGTATGCCAGAAAGGCGATTACTTGACCAAACTCCTTCCGGAGACTTACTCGCTTTAGAGTGACCTTCACAGTGAAAAGATGGAGAACAAAAAAAAAAAAAGAACC